GTGGACCTTGACCTTGACCGTGACATTGTCCTTGACCGTGGCCTCGACCACTTTTCCCGTTTCTAAAATTTTCCGTGGCCTTGAGTTCAAGGCCATGGCCTTGGTCTCAAGGCCATTACATTTTAAAATTTTAAAATTTCTACATAACTAGGCCAAGGCCATAGCCTTGAGCTCAAGGCCATATCCTTGAGCCATTTTCAAAATGTTTACATCATTCGATTAAAGTTATGGTCATGGTCAAGTTGTGTTTATATTTCGCCTAACAACGTCTCGAAAATATTTTACCGTCGTACTTGACAAGATTTGAACATGGAACTATTGAGTACCAGCACAGCACGATACGCTAGCACCCAAACACACCGTTGCTTAAATGTTCAGAACGAAACTACGAGTTACATTTTACTCACCAATAGTTTGAAAATATTTTACGACGTTACCTCACAAGAATTGAACTCGGGACAACCCGGTCCTATTCTAACATGCTACGCAAACGCCTAAACTTACAAATTCTGAGTGGTTCAGATCTGATGTGTGTCTTACGTTTTCGTTTAACAGCAAGAAAAGTCAACAAAGTGACAGGTGTTAAATCTTGAATGACCAGCCAGATAACGTGAGTACGAGAGATATAGAAGGATTAGCTTTTACACTATAGAAGGATAAGCACGAGGAAGATTCAGAGGAAGCACGATGGTTAAGGAGGTGGAGAAGAAAGGAGTCCAGGGGAGGCCAGCGCTAGATTGAATTTCATATTTCGAATTTGAACTTCTTTTTGTAAGCCGATGTTGGGCACATCGCGACCGCATGTTGGAAACCTGGAAAACATCTAAAATGTCTGCAAGCAGCAGCCATAGTGCAGCCATGGTCCATCATGACCATGCGTCACATCCTCAAATAACAGCAAAAATATCCGAAAAGGCAATAGAGTATGGGTAAAACGCTTGTAGATTAATAAAAAGTCGACGCATTTGATTACGAGACGTATTAATCTCGAACACAAATATTGACAATACAGTAGCTTTTATTCATAGATAAAAACATTCATTTCTCACATGTACATACACGGTCGCTTCACTTTACACAGTCAGCAAACACACTGTAAAAGTAAACATCTGAAAGCGAAGGCTATTGTAGAAATGAAAAGACTGGCATGGCAGCGGACTAACATAATAATTTACGCAGTTCTCAGATAACTGTTTTCGTGCGACATCAACCGTTCGTATTAGCAATCTTCGGGTGAAGTGGAGGGGGAGACGCCATTCTTGCTAGATACCACCTTACACATACGTTCCGATGACTCGGCACATAACATTATATAGAGTATTCGTTTTACTGGCTTATTCTCTTGGCACATAGCAAGGGGTGGCGTTTGCTGCGACAACACAACATCCTGCACAACACACGATCTTTTTAAATTGTTACCCATATTGTTCGAGAGGAAACAATATCAGTTACGTTTCATGATGCTGCACATTGGGGCAAAGAATCACTGAATGTTGCCACACTGCATTTATTAACAAGCTATCAGCAAACATTTGCACCACTAATAATGCCTACTGGCAAGAAATTAATATCGTCATTCCAATGTCCTTATTAATAGAACTGAACACCATTTTCTTATCGAAGATGCAGTACGTATCAAAGATGCCACGACGTGTGCGTGTATCTTATGACCGTGGTTGTGCTAACGAACTAAGCGTGTGCTATAATGAGGACCATGGTTAGCGTTCAGAGTTACGTAAAAACCGACGCAAAATGTAACATGAACATATGAGCAAACTAAAAGCTATAACGGATTGCATGTAGCATGTAATTTCACACTGGGTCGTGATTCGGGACGATATATAGCGGGCCGCGGAGCTGTCCACGTGCATAAAATTTTATAAATACAACACTATTTACAACTCATCATTAATAACCACAGCAAAAAGGCTTACACTTACCCGACCTCTACTCAACATGTACACCTAACGATATATACCATTGCATGTGTGCTGGGAGATATGATAAATGTGTAAAACTGTTCTGTACAGATAGTTAAAAGCACCTTTCGAAAAATTATTCGCGAAGTGCGCACGACACTTCTGCCTCGAGAAAGCTGCACTCTCTGTCGCAAGAATCTGTTGCTCGGTGACAGCTTAGCTGCTCCATAACGCCAAGCACTGTAGTTTTACGCACCTACAGAGCTCTCTCCTTTATATGCTTGGTCCATAGCGCGCTTGGAGCGCCATCTATATGTACGGCTGATTACACATGACTCAGCACTAGGCAATATTCTAAGCTTTCAGTATGAAGTCCACGTGAGAACATTGACAGAGCTATGGCCGATACACGGTACTTCAATGATCCTTGCGAGGGTGACCTCTTCCCCTATTGGTTGCTATCATCTACCATGAGAAGCCATCATCCCAGTCTCCAGCCTCACAGATATATGTGCTAGGTCACACGTCTCCATCCTCACAGATATATGTGCTAGGTCACACATCTCCATCCTCACAGATATACACGTGGCTCACACGCCTCCATCCTCACAGATATACGCGTGGCTCACACGCCTCCATCCTCACAGATATACGCGTGGCTCACACGCCTCCATCCTCACAGATATACGCGTGGCTCACACGCCTCCATCCTCACAGATATACGCGTGGCTCACACGCCTCCATCCTCACAGATATACGCGTGGCTCACACGCCTCCATCCTCACAGATATATGCACGCGTTATCTCCTGCGCATGTCTTCAGAAGTAGATCACCTCCTCTGGGGTCGACTTTGCTCTTGCATGTTTCGCCCCCCCCCCCATTGCCGCTTCCTTGTCGGCTCTTTGACATGCTGATAGACTCGGACCAACTTCATCGGCAGCTGCTGACCATGCAGCACCAGCGTCTGGCGCGATTCGTCGCGCGCCGCCGCGCCGCTTGACAGCTTCATCGGCAGCATCTGCTGCACCGGCGACACCTTCTGGCCGGCGCTGAAGCTGCTGGCTGGCGAGAACTCGCCGCGCTCGCGTCGCCGACGGTCTCGGCGGCGAGCTTCGCTGGAAGCTGCTGCCGCGGCAGCGCCACCTCGCTCTGGCTGTGAGCCATGCGCGCCTCGTTCGTTCGCGCTGTGAAATGCACGAGGCGCTCGCCGCGCGCCGCGCGGGTGCGCCCGCCGGCAGCGTCGCGAGGAGCGGGGATTGTGATCCTCCTCGGAGAAGCTCGTGGGCTGCACGTCGGACAGCGCCGCTCAAACTCGCTCTAGGGGGCACGTGATCTGTGCCGGTAGTGCATGTCACGGTGGAATGTTTGTCGACGAGCCGGCCGACGAGCTTCCGCACGCCGCGCCAGAGGACGCCTGCGGGCGACTGCTGTGGGCTTAGACGATGTTACTGTAGCTGCAGGCTCGCGTTGCATTTGACAGATCCTCCTGCTGACCTGGCTGCATCTGCTCATAAAAGCAAGGCGACACGGCGAGATGAGATCAGTGTCGCCTAGCAACGCGTGAGATTGAGAGCCGGTGTCGACTAGCAACGCGTAAGATGAGAGCGGGCTGTCGCAGCCTAGCAATCGCGCGAGATGAGAGCCGCGGGTTCGTACTAGCAACGCGCGAGATTGCGAACGTGGTGTCGCTAGCAACGTAGCGAGATGAGAGACCGGTGTGCCCTAGCAGAGCGGCGCGGATGAGAACGGTGTCGCCTAGCAACGCCGCAGGAGCGATTGAAGTCCGAGTGTCAGCTAGGGCAACGTGCGGAGTGAGAGATTTATGTCGTGCAGGCACACGGGCTGGCGAGGCATTGAGAGCCGCGGTGGTCGCTCGAGGCAACGCAGGCGAAATGGAGACGAGGTCACTTCTCATGCTAATAAGCGCATGCATGTGGGTGCCTAAATATATGAGGTTTGAGAGGTAATTCGCTGTGATGTCCGTTGTACTCGTTGTTGTCTTTATTTATCATAATTAGTTAATGATTTGCGTGTTATTGTATTATGGTAGTCCGGCTCTAGTCACATTCGACCACTGTGGGCCTATGCGATCACGTACCAGGGGGGCATCACTATTTTTATCACACGGTGCGTTGCGTTTTGTGCCATTGTGTTTGTATGTGCGGTGTGCGTGTAATCATGTCATGTATGGCACTAGATTGGCGCTGCTCAACACGGCTGTCATACTTGAGCTTCTGTATGTCGCTGCGTCGCTGTTGCGTACTCGTCGCGCTGTATCTTCTTCTCGCCGTGCAGTGCCTCACTCGTTCTTTGTTGATTGTCTCTAGAACCATGAAGACAATGAGATTAATGCATTCCTCGCGGCTAACGACAAGGCACGACCACGTTATAGTGACTTCGGAGAAGTCCAGCTGTGCACTATTTAAAGTCGAGAAAAAGGGCGTTATAAAATATGGCCGAGGCGCGCTCTGGTAAAAGGTGGTATACATGAATTAATGTAAGCTCGTGGTTTTAGTTTTTGCATTAACCTAATTCAAAATATCCAAATGACACATCATATTTGTAAATGTTTCTGTAAACAGAAAGAGACCTGTGATTGAAGTACGATGTTAGTGAAAGAATTAGAGCATCAACAAGAGCCGCAGAGCTTGCTGGGTATCTGAGTCTGTTGCTGACGGTTATAAAGTAACATTTAAGTGTGCTAGTGCACACCTTTGGGTTAGGCGAAGATATGAGATACGAAGCTGCAGCGCTTACACATTCATCTTCCAGGCCAAAAAAACCCTTCTGCATTTGCATACCTCCAAATCCATTTGGTTGATTCAAATCGCGTGCTGAAACTCCTGTTTTAGGTGCATTGTGACCCTAACCCTAACCTATTAAAAAAAATATTATTGTTGTATTAAATTGTTAGTAAATAATCAGTGTAAATATTTGTGTTACATTGGAAAAAATAGTTAAATGGATAAGATAGAAAAATACAGAAAACATGGTAATAATAAAAAATTAATTGATGGGATTCAATCAAGACCTTTTAGATGACGCCTGGGCTGTACTCCGTTCGGTATCAGGGCTATTGGCTTTTTAGATTATGGATGTGCCATAAATATGAGAACACTGTGACATCATTGAGGCAGTTCAGGAATCCATGTTTAACCCGCCTGTTGAGGGTCATAAGGTTATCAGACGCTTACTCTTCGCACGTCAGTGGAAAGCACATTTCATGGTCCTTTCAATAAAGTGATAAAAATGGTAGGTCAGCGCTGAAACATAAACGTTTTTAGCTCTGTCCATTAGGCCATGTCCTCAGAAAATGTCTGATATCTGACCTTTCCCCCACTGCCCTTTGACCTGTGACCTCCAATTTCGCACTGGTGATGGGTTTCCTGCCCATCACACTATACACCGAATATTAAGAGCATAGGTCGAGCCGTTAAGATTTGTGCTGCAATTCCGTATTTCCTCCTATACCTTAAGTTAAGGGGGAAATATTCCCCCTCCGTTTACACATCTTGACCTTTGACCCTTGACCCCCAAATTTGTCATCCCGAGTCCTTTTCACTATCCCCCCGACGTCCCGAATATCGTGACCGTACGTCGAGCGGTTAAGATTTGTGCCCAACTGTTGACGGACGAACGCACGATCATGCGATTCTACCAGCTGCATCTGACTACGTCAGATGAGCTAAAAACCTAGACCAGCCCTATCATAACTATGTTATAAAAGGGCAACTTATGCCCCCTCTTATCTGATCTCAATATGGCGGCGGGGACTTTCCGATATGGCTTATTACATAAATATCAATAGTTAACAATCATAAATATATCGTACACTCTAAAATGTCATGACTTTCGCACAGCACTTAACTTAGCAATGACATTTCAGACCGTAATTACGATTAGTTAATCATAATTAAAAATCTGTTTCACGAAGGGATTTAATTACATAATTAACTAATCAAATAATTAGCCGACTTAATTACATAGTTAGTCGAATAATTACATAAATTACATTGTATTCAAAATGGCGGACAACGCAAGTCAAGTGCTTATTCAACCAGAAAATAATCGATCAACATCCATAAAAACGAAAAGCTAATTTTACAACAATGGAGAAGAACTTATATAACTTATATGTCTTATTATATGAACGTATATTAGAACTAATTATGATTAGTGAATTTAATTATGCTCTTGAGTAGAATTAAATATTGTAATGAACTTAAAGGGACAGTAGCCTCTAGGATTTTACTGCATACAACTGTACTTACTGTATAACAAATCGTCTATACCTACATGTATTTGTCACCAGATACTTAATTAATTATTTACACATCAACGCTACGAAATTTGAACGGCGCCATGACACCCGCGACCGTGCTGCCACCCTGAAAAGTTGGCGTATTTGCATTTTTATTTTGCAGGTAATGACCGAGGGCTTAATCACAAAAGTGCAATTATTTTATACCTAAATGCTATTTAACCAAACGATATTCATTTTAGCGGGCAAATTTATCCATATTATAACTGAAACTATATGTCGTTTATAAGATATTACAATCCTTTTGCTTTTAAATGAATAATAAGAAATACCTCGGCTGTAGCCCTTGGCTGGGAAAGTGGTTTTGCGCAACTTCTCTCAGATCGTGCGCTTTGAGTGGCGCCACCGTCGTCGTAATCAAACTGTAGTCGTTAGTTTTAAAACATTTAAAAAAAAAATTTCTAATGGTGATTGATCTATGAAACTTTTTATGTAGCGCAATTATAACCTAAATTAGCTGAAAATAACCCTAGAACCTAGAGGCTACTGTTCCTTTAATCATGATTAAAGTTAATTACGCTTCGTGAAACATTCACTTCAATTTAATTACGAGAAGTTAATCATGATTAGTGATTTAATTATAATTAAGGACTTAATTACGCTTCGTGAAACTGGCCCCCTGATGTCTACATCTCTCTTGACCACTCCTTTTGATATGATTGCTGTCACATATAAAAATTTTCCTCCGCTCTAACCAACTCATTCACGTTTTACTGAGATCCATTACACGAGAAATTGAACGCACTTGTGAGCTAGCACCTAACAAAAAGCAATTCGCAAATACATTCTGGCCTCTGTAAAAACCAGTGCTGTGCACTGACCAGGTATCGCTGAGTAAAAACGACAAAAAAAAACACAAAATGAATTGAGAAATTTAACAAAAATCGTGTGCAACCCATGCATGATCGACCTCGTTGCACGCTTCGGAGCGTACCAACGCGCCACCTAGTGAGCACCGACGCGCCACCTGGTGAGCAGCGTACCTGGAGGTTGCGTAGCTCCTCCAGCTGCTGGTTGGCGCGGAACTGCGACTTGCGCTCCTTCGCCTCGCGGCTGTTCTCGGTCGTCATGCGGCCCATCTGGTCCTGACTCTGCATGAGCTGCACTCGCAGCGTCTCCAGCTCTGTGTGCTGCTGTATGAGCACGTTCTGCAAGTGAAGCCAAGCGTGAAGTGAAGCCCAGGTAGACCCCAGCAGACAGCATGGCTGTCACTGTCAGTGTGGCTGCCAGGAAAAAAAATATACTTTTTTTTCAGGGGAACTCTTTTTCAAAAGTCTGTGGAAAAAATAGCTCTCGTCAAAAATTTTACGGGAGCTATTTTGAGCCTCACGGGAGCGATTTCGGAGGTTTGAAGAGCAAATCGCTCATCGCTCCCGTGTATTTTTTACCATGGCGTGAAGCCCAGGCACACCCCAGCAGCAGACAGCATGGCTGTCACTGTCACAGTGTGGCTGCACGATGACATGCAACCCTAGCACATAACACGGCTGCCACACGGTGTGGCTGCACGATGACATGCAACCCTAGCAGATAACACGGCTGCCACACAGTGTGGCTGCACGATGACATGCAACCCTAGCAGATAACACGGCTGGTGTGGCCATGTGCTGGAAACTACAGTGCTATTTGTTACAATGATTTTAGCCTAACCATGCTCGCCTCCGGCCATGGCATGTTTATAGTGTTCAACGCGAAATATTAGGTTCTCATTCGAGTAAGTGTGTAAGTGAGTTTCTCATGAACTGAGTCGACTCATTTCGAATAACATCGAGCATACCGACATCACATCCTGCTACGACAGGTTCTCATTCGAGTACGTGAGTTAAAAAAAAACATTGAGCAGTACGACTTCACATCCTCGGGTTAACGTACCAGCAGCGCGTTGATGTAGTGTGTGACCTGGAGAGCCGACGCGGCACTCTCCTTCGTCGGCGTCATGATGAGCGGCAAGGGGGCGCCACCGACCGTCAGCTGCTCGCCGGCGACGTGCTTGTCGCTCGCTTCGTCGCTGCTGCGCTCGACTAATCGCTGCTTCTGCTGGAAGAACTCGGGCAGGAAGCTGCTGCTGCGGCGACTCACTCTGTTCTCCTGCAGCGAAGCAACGAGGTGCGATCGTTAACGAACGACTCAGTGTAAAATGAACAATTAGCCTAACTATAAAAGTTAGAATTAATACTTGTTAATCAACGGCTCAGTAAGATGTATGACTAATTCATCTACGAAGCCACAATGAATGATCGCTAATGAACGACTCAGTAAGATGAATAATTAGCCTATCTATAAAAGTTACAATTAACACTTGTTAATCAACGACTCGGCCCACCCACACGACCTCCCGCCCACATCCCCACCCACACAAGCCTGCCCACTGCCCAGCCTGCCCATCCACTTGCCTACCCACAATATCCCGATCACACGCCCGCCCACCCACCTGCCCGCCCACACGCCTGCCCTTCACTCACCTTCTGTCCGACGCTGATGCGATCTTTAATGTCGGCATCGCTGTCTCGCCGCCTCAGCTGAACCCGCGCCGCCGCCGCCGTGTCAACGCTCTGCTCAGAGCCTCCTGAGTCGCTGTTAGTGCCGAGGCTAGCTGTGCCGACTTCTGCCTCATCCCGCAGCAACCCTGGCGTGCCAGACACTCGCTTCTTCAATACACTCGCTACAGAGAAACAGAGAGAGAGAGGAGATGTTAGAAGCCTGACGAGCACTCGCTACAGAGAAACACACACAGAGACACACGCACGCACGCACGCACGCACGCACGCACGCACGCACGCCCTCTCACACACGCGCGCTCTCTCTCTCTCTCTCTCTCTCTCTCACACACACACACACACTCCAGTGTTGTAGGTCTCGAGGCCGGTCTTGGCCTCGAGACCGGCCTCGAGACCGTTTTCCTTGGTCTCAGTCTTGGTCTTGGCCTCGGAGTGCAATGACTCGGACTCGGACTCGAACTCGAGCCCGCCGGACTCAAGGACTCGGGTCGAGGCCGGCTCGAGGCCACTATATACATTAACATAGTACTAAGAGTAGATAATAACAATTTTGTAATAACAATAACAACAATAATAACAATAATGCATAACAATGTATAACAACAACAATGTATGTGTACAATAATGTATAACAACAATAATTATAAATAACAATAATAACAAGATTGTTATTATCTACTCTTGATAGTACACAACTGTATATATTGTAACACGCAGTTTACAAGAATTTAAAACTAAAACTCCTAGGTTTTCTAGATACACGGCCTAATCTTGTAACGTTTTCAATGGCTCGATTAAGATTCTTGTCCCTAATTTGGTTTGAATCTGCTGTCACTTCGTCCCTTTGGGCTTATTCTACCACTTCTTTCTCTTCTTCTACCACTTCGAAGGTACTAGCACTCTCTCATTTGGTTCAACAAGCCGTGTCAGACTATACACTTTCGAATGTCTACGATGCACTGTTGCGATGTTTTCCCTTTTTCCCCCTTTTTCCCGTTTTTTTTACCTTTTTTTATCAAAACTGGACTCGGACTCGGTCTCGGAATCGGACTTGGGTGGTGTGGACTCGGACTCGGACTCGACTACAACACTGACACAAACACACACACACACACACACACACACACACACACACACACACACACACACACACACACACACACACACACACAGGGGGATATGTTAGAAGCCTGACGAGCACTCGCTACAGAGAAACACACACACACACACACACACACACACACACACACACACACACACA